ATTAAATATAATATCAAAATTTGATTCTAAATATTTTTACAATTTCGAGTCTTTCTTCGATATGAACTAGTTTCAAAATTAGAAAATGTAATGAAGAAATAATAAATGATAAACAGGGTTAGATTTAGGTCAGGTATGATTTTAAAATTTTATTCTAAATATTTCTTAAATTTCAAGTCTTTGATATTGACTAGTTTCAAAGTTCAGAAATTTACTGTAAAAAGAATAAACAAAATGAAACAAAGATGTATAGGTATGAATGACACAAGACATGGAGCAGTCACATATATCCAAAACTCCTATAAACTTCCTCTACATTGCTCCACATTAACCAATCTAATACACCCTCAAGATCTCTACCAAGCTCCAACCCAACCCTACCCTCGTCTCCCAAAAAGAAACAAAATTACCCCTCACCTAACCCCTAAAAATTCGTCAAGAAATCTCCTGCCGAAGCAGACAAATTAAAAAATAAAAATACCAAATTTCGCAACTATAATAGAAACAGCTACCAACTCGGTAGTACCCTCGGTAGTACACGCATCCTGGCACGGTAACCAGGTATACAACGAAAGCGTGATTGAAACGGAGAAATTCAGCGAGCAAGGACCGGCGTGGAGCTCACCTCGGAAGATCACGTCGCAGGTCAGAACCTAACCCAGTCACAAAACGATCGTGACACCGGTATCGCCGAGGAAGAGTAACCCAATCGTCTCTTCTCCGAGGCACGCGTGTAAAGATACCCATACGCGGGAACCAAGGAAACTCTCGGCTCGAGCCGGAGGAAGAGGCAGCGACAGCAAAGAGGGAAAAAGAAGGCAAAGCAGCAGAAGAAGAAGAAGAAGAAGAAGAAATTCCGAACGGGCGAAGAGTAGGACTGACCAGACGTGTTATCGACGCTCTGCCAACCCCTTAAATCAGCGAAGGTAGGTGAGCGAAGGGGGTGAAGCAGCAAAAGAAAAAGAAGAGGAAGAGGCGGAGGATCCTCCTTTCCCTTTCCCTGATCCTCCGATTTTTCTTTTTTTTCTCCCAACTCGTGACGAAGAGAGGACATGCGCATGCAGATCACGTTGGTTGTAGCCAAGTGATAGCGTATCTGTGGGCGGCGCGTGCGTGTGGTCCTTCTATGTCCCCTTTAACTCCCATCCTTGCCTTCGTCTCTTCCACCATGCTCGAGGGAACGCTCCGGCCCGTTCCAGGTCCTCTTACCTCTCTTTCTCTCTCTCTTTCTCGTTCTTTCTCTCGCACTCTCCTTCTCCATCTTTCCCCTTTTCACCTTATACCTGGACCCTCTCTCTTCGATCCTACCGGTTTACCTCTCTTCGCTTTTAAATGAGGAAATGACAGACTTAATATGCGATTTAATACGTGTCCTGACGATACGCTTTCCACGCCATGTGGCACTCGCATTTTTCATCGTGCTTTTCAATTTTTCCTTTTGGCTTCTTGGTTTCGTGCGATTTGATATGATGCCTGTCTATCTGGTGATATAGTTGCTATTCTGTGGAAGAATTGGCATTTTTGGTAAGGGGTTTGAGTTTGTTTGCCTTTTGCGGTGTTTGCTTTGGTTTGTTCAGTTGGATTTGGGTTTGGTAGTGTTTGTTAATGTAATTGAGTGTAGGAATATGCATGGTGCAGTTGTGAGGATTAGTTATGGGTGAGTTTGGACGTTGTGGCTACTTCAAACAAGATCAAACATAGTGTTAGTCTTAACACTGTGATATTACACCTATTCTGAGTAGCTGTGTATCATAAATCATAAAATACTTTAGTCTGTAATTTTCATTGCTATGTTGGGATTTAACATTTAACTTTTTGTAACTTTTGGGGAACGAGAATTGAAGTGCTATTGTGTTGGTAATTGTGTTATTAATAAATGCATGATTGATGTGATGATGTGGATCTCTATTTAGTTCTGTTTGTGAAAATTGAGCAAGGAAATTGGATTTATATAACATGGTGTCTAATGAAATACTAATTGCTTATGAAGCGAAGCTTTATACGAACAAATTTAATCTTCTGGAGTAGAAATCAATTTGAGTTGAAATCAATTTAGCTTTCAATAAAGTCATTCCCAGTCAATATTTAATTTCAATTAACTATGCTAATGCATATTACATACGTTCCTATTTAGTCGACCAATATTAAAGACCAATACCAACACCAATATTATAAAACACGGAAATATCCTTCGATTATAATCATAATTGTATATAGGCAACTGAATCTAATTGATAAGAGTCAGTTTTACATAAGCAATTAAATATAAAAGAAACATTTGAACTGAATTTATATTTTTCGAGATCACATTTCTGCGTTGTCACACTTTTGACAAAGTAGTAGTATCACAAAACAGTATTATCACCAAACTTCGTCCATCCAATTATATCCACTTCAAACATGAATTGTACAAAGTTAATTTCTCCATAAATTTATAATCTAGCCTGAATAACTTGAACTACGATACTCACCTTCAAACTTCTTCAAACTTCTCTAAACCTCCTCAAAGTATCCTAATTAATACAAAATATATTCAAAGGGAAGCTTTTTTATAAATATCAGAAACTTCATAAAAATCTGAATGAATTTAGAACTGAATTGAGGACTCAAATTGAATAATATCTCATTTATCTTCAAACTTCCTCATACTTCACCAAACTTCCCTAAAGTAACTCGAGTAGTGCCAAAAATATTTAAAAACAGAAAAAGAGGAACTTTAGAAATTTCAGAAACTTCATGAAAATCCAGATAAACTTGCTCAAACCTTGTCAAACCTCTTCAAACTTCTTCAAACTTTCTCAAACTTCCTCAAACCGCCGGAATCAGAGCGAAAAGCATTCAAAACGAACGCGAAAAGATTATAAATAAACTCAGAAGGATGCAATTCGAGTGACAAATATCGAATGGTATCTCGGCTAAGTCCCGGCGAATTAATTTCACCGCGCGGGCTGTCAAGAAATTATGTAAATTCGCTTTACAAGGCTGAGACACAGGGTTTCATTTGCTCCTCCTTTTTTCCCCTCCTTATCCCCGTCCTTTTATTTCTGATCCGGATCGGAATTCCTCGAGTTTCCAGGTTCGAGAACGAACTCCTAGTCGAGCGGCCTGTTGCAAGAAGTGGAAGTCGACCGGTCGTGCGAGATTCTCCTTATCGACGCGAGCTGTCCCGTGTTCGGCCCGTTCCCGGGCCCGAAATAGCGTATTCGGGCCCACCTCGTGCCTTTCCAGCACCTACCTTCGAAAAAGAAACGTAACCCTAGACGTATCGCGGTGTCATGTCCCGCGCACCTGGCGGCCTCGTTCTTTGTAACACGATACACGCGTTTCTTCTTCTTGTTCTTCTTCTTCGTCGTCGTTCTCTTTGCTGCTGCTGCTTCTTCCTCTTCTTCCTCTTCTCCGTCGTCTACTCCTAGCTCCTCGCTGCTTTCCTCTCAGCTATTCTCGTATTTACACTCGACGAAGAGGATTTAGTGGGGCTTGGATTGAAATATTAGGGGATGCTGATTTAATTTTAGATCGGGGTGCATGTTTTATTTATTTCATTTATGGTGTTTGAATTGCGTATAAATAGTGAATTATACAGGATTGCAATTTGAGTTTTAGGCGTTGGTTTTGTAGTCTTGAAATCGTGATTTTTACCGTATAATGTTAGGGTAAAAATGGAAGAATTGTTATGACGTCTTGGACTACTCTTAAAGAAGTTATTCATGGAATGATACTCAAAATTCTACCTAAAATTTAGTAATGGAACTTGGTTTTTAAACTGTAGGTGAATATTTGTGAAATGGGTATGTTTTATACTGGGATTTTTTAAATTTCAATGTAGAAAAGTAGAGTAGTACAGTGATAATGTAATACAGTGATAATATAGTAGTATAGTGATAATGTAATACAGTGATAATGTTATCTTAGATCGTGCTGGATATAACAAGAATTCAGTCCAATTGTAAATTAAATAAAAATTTCGATAAATTTTCTACCACTTCGAATGATGCACACAAATGATCATAACTCCTCTGGGAAACTAATTATAAATTAATTTCTAATTGAAATCGTGTCTCAATTCCCAAATTAAATTTTCCATTACAGGAATTTTATTATATTTATTAAAATAGTCAATTAAATCTGCCCAAATATTACTACATTATCGAATAATAAATAAAAATTCTAGTCAAAAATCAAAATCTTAAAAAGACGAATCCCGAACTCGTTCTACTGGATCCACGATAATCAAAAGAGCAGGAAGAATCGAAAAACCATTTAAATATTCTAGAATAAATATTTCACACATAGAGGATACTTAAGAACAAAAATTTCGTCGAAACTTCGTCCAAACAAAATGCAATAATATTTCAATTTCTGTACTAAAATTCCACCACCAAATTTTCATTCTTACAGGAAAAGGTCTCACCTCGAAAACAAAACACAAGGCGATTTTAAAAAATAATATAATAAAAGTTTATTTTACACGTACAAACGAAACACAACGTGGGCACGTAGGTACACAGTATGAAAAAATACGATCCTCTTGTACGTCCTACTCCGGCTACCTATACATATAATACGTCGTGCGTAACATAATTACAGATCTAACGATCATGAATCCGTGAATAACATCCTGATATGCAGTTATAATTATACCCTACGTATTAACAACTACGAAATACATACGCAGCTAAGTACACACTAAAAAACCAGGGACGCTCCAACCAAGCACCGACGAGTCTCGGATACCTGCCTCCCTCTTAGAGGCAAAAAGCGATCCAGGGTCGTCGAAATCCACGTCCACCCGAGAACTCTATCGGGAAGCTCGCGAAATCCAAACAGGAATCATCAACGTCACCCGCAAGTCGAGCCAGTTAGACCTTCGTCCCCACCAGAGACCCCCTAGATCCTTCATAGTTGACAGGAAGCAACCGGAACGAAGCAACCCCAAAAGCATTCGTTCCGGTTGGAGAATAAATTTCCCTAGTACAATGCCAGACGTCCGATTCGGTCAACTAGGACGTCTCTTGCAGCACCACAGCCCCAGTGCCTGGCACAGGGATACCCGGCGGCGGCGGTGACGTCGAGACGCCCAGATTGTGAGTCAACGAGTGCCTTCTGAGGTCGCAGTTCCTACGGAACACCTTGCCGCAGGATGCACAGTGGTAAGGCTTGATGTCCGTGTGCGTGAGGAGGTGGGTCTTCAGGTTGCTCCTCTGATTGAAGCTCCTGGCGCAGACGGGACACTTGTGGGGCGACTCCTCCATGTGCAGGATCTTGTGGACAGCCAGGGTCCTGCTCTGGCAGAATCCCTTGCCGCATTCGGCGCATTTGAACGGCTTTTCCTTGCTGTGGATGTACCTGAAACGCATCGAACATCGATTTTCTTTCAGTCCCAACGTGTTGCACACCGCGAGATCGCGCCGATGACAGACGTTGGCTTTTGCTGCGAGCTACGAGAATGGCCAGCGTAATGGGATTAGAGGGATTAGGGGGATTAATGATTGTAGAAGCGACGGAGCGTGGAAATTTTCGTTTGGGTTTTTAGATGGACGACTGTTCGCGTGAGTGGTCTTATTGTTGGTTTAGGTGCGCCGGGGTGGGGGCGAGGATTGGGCCCGGGGTCCCAGTGTGTCGGGATGTTTGGATTGTTAGGGATATATGGGAGTGGATGGCTAGTGAATGGTACTCGAGTGGTGTTTCTTCGTGTTGGGAAATTGTTGTTTGGCAGTTATGGTAAATATGGCATGCTAAGGGTATTTAAATATTATTGTGACAGTTAAATAATTGGCAATGCGACATGAGAAAAATATTAATACGATATTCGTTATTTTAATAATTAATTTATTGCAGTAAGAAAAATAATATTATTATAAATTATAATAGTAATATTCTGTAATATTTTATAATATTTTACAGGTAAAAAATGAATTTTTTAATACAATAATAACGTCAAAAAGGAGATAGAAAATGTAGAAAATTCGTATTAAAATTTGTGAAAATTCAGGAATTCAGAAAATATCGAAATATCGTATATTCTGACAAAAGATAGTATTCAAATCTTAGATAGAAATCTCAGAAATGCTACAAAATTTGAAATTCAAACGAGACGAGACAAGAACCACCGCCTATGAAAAACAGCCTAAAAACATAGTCCTTAAAAAAGAAAAACAGGTGAAGCAAAAACTAAATAAAACCTCTCCAATGCCAACTACTCGAATTCAAAAATATCACAAACGTCACACGTTACCAAATTTGTCACGACTAATCATTTATTTGGCAACTTGTGGATCCCAGAACTCCAATTTATTTTTGTAACCTATCTATTCAACCATGAATAAAAATTACTATATATTCGCCAGTCATTTTCGCTTCATATCACAAGAATTAAAACAAACAGCTGATATCAAGACACACTTATAAGCCAATCGTTCAAAAATTTATCAAACTCCAGAAACAAAATATAAGAACCTAGTTTGAATACAGACAGTGATGCACCAATCACCAGCTCTGACCCCAAAATTCAAGCTTCGAGAAATAGACTGGATCGTTTTAGCCTGTAAACAACTCAGACACTGCAGAGCCTATCCTCTGACATCTTGTCCCAATAATCACGAGAGAGTGAAATCACGACGTTAATTCCATCTGCCTGATTGCTCACCGATACTCCTCCAATTTTTCATTCCGAACGAGCCCAGCCACGTCGGGAAATAAAGAATCCAACACGAAGAAAAAGGTAGAATGGGAAGAATTACAAAATACAAGCTACTATGAGAAGGCAATAAAAGCACGAGGATCCACGGACTATTCTCGTAATGCCTGAGTCCAATTAACGGGAATTGCGGACGTATCGATTGATGTCGTGGTGATTGATGATGAAGATACGAAAAGGCCGATAAATTGTCACGAATTGATCAACGTAATTAATACACCGGCACGGTATTCCGGGCCGCCGTCATAATTACACGTTGGGCCGTATCATTTCGTCGTATTTAGACGCCACGAAGATTGCAATCAATTTGAGCCCGGTCGTGCGCGCGCGCTAACTCACGGGAAGAAAGCGCGCTTCACGAGGCGCCGTGATTGGTATAACTACTTTTGCCGTGCACACTTCGCCCGGCCAATAAGCATATATAATAGCAGCTTTATCTTCCGCGTCTCTTCCGCGACGAGGATCCCCGTCAGGCTGATTTTTCAGGACTTTCATCGGGGTCCATTCAATGGATGTAAATTGAGCGCGATTATCATCGACTCTAGTTCCCGATGATTTGTAATTTACGCGACTGGCGTTCCAGTCACCTATCTGAGATGACGGCGATCTGAGAGTTAGGTTAGGGTAGAATGGAGAATTAATCGTGGTAATTGATAGGGGAATTTTTGTGCGTGAGAAGTTGCATTTTGCGAGGTGAAGTGGTTTCAGGTACTTTGGATTAGTCTGTGTGTGATCAGTGATTTGAAGCGGTTTCAGGTGCTTTTGGCTGGTCAATGAGTGGTCAATAATCTCAAATTGTTTCAGGTACTTTTGGCTAATCAATGTGTGATCAATGATCTGAAGTGGTTTCAGGTACTTTTGACTGGTCAATGTATGGTCAACAATCTCAAATGCTTTCAGGAACTTCTAACTGGTCGGTGTGTGATCAATGATCTGAAGTGGTTTCAGGTATTTTGGATTAGTCAGTGTGTGATCAATGATCTGAAGTCGTTTCAGGTACTTTTGACTGGCCAGTATATCATCAATGATTTGAAATTGTTTCAGGTACTTTTGACTGGTCAATGTGTGGTCAATAATCTCAAATAGTTTCAGGTACTTTTGACTAATCAGTGTGTGATCAATGATCTGAAGTGGTTTCGGGTATTTTTGGCTGGTCAATGTGTGGTCAATAATCTCAAATAGTTTCAGATACTTTTGACTAATCAGTGTATGATCAATGATCTCAAATTGTTTCAGATATTTTTGGCTAGTCAGTATGTGATCAATGATCTGAAATGGTTTCAGGTACTTTGGTTAGTCAGTGTGTGATCAATGATCTGAAGTGGTTTTAAGTACCTTTGACTGGTCAGTGTGTAAGCAATAATCTGAAATGGTTTCAACTCCCTTTTTCTGGTCAGTGTGTGATCAGTGATCAGAAGGATTGAGATTCTTGAGATATGAGGATAATAACAGTTGGGTTTATAGGTTACATATAATATGGAATTTGTAAATTTAATCGTGGTGTTATTATTAAATTAATTGCTCAGTGATTAACAAGTGTACGGACAAAATTATTAGGTTAAATTGAAAGTGGAATGATTCATCAAATGAATTGATGGAGAAATTTATATATTTTGGAAATTGCATCTTGTGAGTTGAAGTGCTCTCAGGTACTTTTGGCTAGTCAGTGAGTACTCAATGATCAAAAGGATTGGGATTCTTGAGATATGAGAATAATAATAGTTAAGTTTACACGTGAAATGGGATTTATATATTTAATCGTGCTTTTATTATTAAATTAATTGTTCAGTAATTAACACGTATTGGGGTACAATGATTAGACTAAAATAAAGGATTTAGCAAAGGAATTGATAGGGGAATTTTTGTTGAATCTTTTCATTCGTGCAATCAATGATCAATGGGGTTTTCTAAACACGAGAATGATAATAATTATATAAAATGCTGTATGTAGAATTCTACATGAATTATAGATTTCAAAATACTGTTTATAAATTAAATATTTAATATTGAACGTGTATGGAAACAAAATGATTAAGGTAAAATGATGGATTTATTATGGTAATTGATAGAGAAATTTTTGTATGTTAAAAATTGGATTTTTTTATATATTTTTAAGTAATTAATGATTAATTAATTATCAACGAAATTTCTATTTTTAATAAATAAAATTATGCTGATCTTGAATAGCAATACTAACTTGTATAGCACTGTCTTAATATCAAATGTTATATCTCTTATATTGACTGTAAATATTTGAAATAAAGCACGAAAATATTTATAACAATTGCATAATAAACAGATAGGATTGGAAGCATATATTTTATAACATTGCTATTAAATTAATTACGAAATAACATAGTTATGGTAAAACAAAGTAATAAAAATTGAATTTCCAATTTCAAATTATTCTGAAATATTTTTAATTAATCCCCGATTAATCAATGAGGAATAAAATTTCTTTTTATCAATTAAAATTATATTATTTCTGAAAGTTGATGATGAACTATGAAAATATGCAATAACTGTCTCAATATGAATAAAAATTGCAAGATTAATCATCGTGTAATGAACTATACACGCAATTCGAATCATAGACCTCATTATATTATTATTATAAATTAATATCAGCTGCATCCAAAAATAAAAACTTTCAAAATTTAAAAATACCGAATTCTATAAACTGTCAATTGTATATGAATTATAAAACTGTAATATCTATCCCATAACCGTCAAAATAATTATCAAAAGTATCCGCAAAACTAAGACAGTCACGATCATGAATCACTAATCCGATATCGAAGAATCGACAAAACGTGTAACCCTCGAAACAATCTACAAGATCTCCCACAATCCCTACAATGTTTCCAATAATCAACCAAATCTTAACCTCAAACGAAAAGAAGAATCCCTCGATCCAAATCGAACTGAGCTAAACTTGGATCAACTTCTAACAGGATTCGCAGCGTGACCCAGGACCTAGCGAAACGTGAAGAAAATCTGGATGCACGGTTCCACGAAACAAATGGAGAACTGATTGGAAGGAAGCGAATCGTAAACGGAGCCACGAAGCCATAACCAATGGACGCGAGGCACTGTCGAACTTACCTATGGTCCCTCAGGTGATCCTGCCGTCGGAAGGCCTTTCCGCAAATGTCGCACGAGTACGGCCTCTCGTCCGTGTGCGTTCTCTCGTGTATCAGCAGATTGTAGCTCTTGGTGAACTGTCGGCTGCAGAACTTGCAGATGAACTGCTTCTTAGGCCTGGACGCCCTGCAGGTCCGCGGTAGATTCGACTCGGTCGAGGTGGACGTGGCCTGGAGCGGCGAGGACGACGACAACGAGGACGAGGAGGACGAAGAACACGCGGACGACGAGGCAGGAGACGTGAACGAGGGCGCAGCGATCTGCGACAGGGACGTCGACTGAGGAACCGTGGTCGCGGAACTCGAACTAGCCCGGTTCCCTTCCGATATCCGTCGCAACAGAGCCTCGTGGTTCGCCGAGGACGTCGCGACTGAAGTGTCCCTCAGCAGCACTTCCTGCTCTTCCAACAGTGCCAGGTCTTCCTCGGGATCTCCGATAAAATCCAACCTGGCCTCGTCCTCGTCGTCGGCCGTCTGCAGAAGCCTGTCAGCGGTCAACTGCTCGTTCTTGGACGGTGTCGTCGTGGTCAACGCGTTTTCTAGACCAGTGTTGATCGGCGAACACCTCTGATTAGCCAGTCCCGAGGCAGTGGACTGGCTGACACCGGGTGCCGTGCTGGTGGCGTGAAGACGATGAAGAGTCAGGTAGGTCTCCAGAGCCTGGAGATTGAGCGCAGCGGCGGCAGCATGGCCAGGTGGCAGCAGAGCTACTCTCTGTAGAGCTGCCAGGAGAGCACCTTGGAGTCCAAGAGCCACGCTCTGCAGCGTGAAATTCGGCAATCCAGCCTCTGTCACACTGGCGACGTCTCGTAGCTCGGTGGTGGTCGACGTGGTCGCAGAGGAGGAGGAGGAGGAGGAGGATGACGGGACCATTACGATTCCCCGCTCCTGCTCCTGGTCCTGCTGTTGCTGTTGTTGCATCCTCCCCCGTCGCTAGTATGGTCACGGGTCAGGCTGAGGGGCTGCCGACGTGTTGCCGGCAGCATTGGCGAGGGTGATCTACCGATCCCGTCGGTTTCCGGAGCTGCTGGGTTGCCGGCTGGTGTAGATTTCCGTTCACTGGTCGTCGAAACGGGTCCTGCTAGAGATCTGGGACCTCATGCTCGAGAGTTACGCGGCTCGATCGCGAGCTATCGTCCAGGGATGCTCGCGAGAGGGTGGACGAACGTGCAGACGGCAAAGAGGAGAGACGCGCGCGATGCTGGCGGTGCGAAGGCGCCCCGACGACTGCTCCTGCCTCTCGCTGCTGGGCACTGCTCGTGGAGACACCTGGTGGCAGGTATCCGAGGCGAGTTGGGACCGTCCGCGAGGAACGGGCCCCGGATTCTGGAGAGAGAGCCACAGCTGGCCCGCAATTGCTCGCCGTTTCGGCGTAAACGGCGTCGTTCGTAATCTCGCGTGCACGCGTGACTGCGTGCGCGCGGCTGTACGCGCGAGCGCGCGCGCGCGCCAGCTCTGGCCTGCCTCACCACGGCGTCGGGGACAACCCTCGATCACCCCTCGAGCGTTATGATATCATTCCGACGCTCATGGCAATTACGACGATGATGCGCTGTTTAGGATTGCAGTATCGGTTCGCGAGGGGCGCTGGGATTCGTTTCTTCCTCCGTATTGGACGTCCATGTATTGTACGTGTGTCGCGAGGTACTCGATTATCGTGGGATTTTTAACAATCGTACCATTTTTCGCTTCGAATAAACGTGCAACGATAAAATTTGGGAGAACGTCGTTCATGCGAATTGAGAGTGAAACTGCCGATTAGAAATGGGACTGTTAATATGACATCGATAAATAGGGATAACGATTTAATGCTATTGGTAATTCGATGTATCGATTGTTACGTCTTTTCGTAGAAGGAATTGCGATTATAGATGGAGTAAAAATAGAAACTGATGGGGTTGCAGTAAAATTATTGCTCGAAATTTTATTAATTTGAAAATATTTTATTTTGATTAATATAGTTCATATTTACCTTTCATTAAAATATTCTAATGGAGATAACCAATTTTTTTCTTAGAGTGTGGTCACTACAATTGGTATGATGTTTGAATAATGCAAGGTCATACGAGGTCACCGAAGATCGTAGAATCACATGTAAGTGTACATATGTGAAGGATTAAAGGAGAATTAAATACTGTTACAAGCTTCATAAACTAAAATCAATTTTTAATAGTCTTTAAATTCTATCAGTGTAGAAACGAGAATTAATGATTTTAATTGTACCATTCATCACCTAAAGTTCCTACTCTAATTTAGGAAATTGGAGAAGAATGCAACCATAACTGCCATGGTTCTCACTGTCATTAATAATATAAAATATTTCCTGTTTTTTCCCTTTTTTCTCATATATTTAAATGGCTATTTAAATAAAAGTCATAAATTAATTTTATTCAAAATAGCTCTAATTTTTACAATAAATATAAAAACAAAAATTTTAAATCAGTTGTTTTAATTACTTTGCTATTTAAATAAAAGTCACAAATTAATTTTATTCAAAATACCTCTAATTTTTGCAGTAAATATAAAAACAAAAAGTTTAAATTAGTTGCTTTAATTACTTTGCTATTTTTACTGTTAATTATATCGATTTTTGATTGGTTAATTGGGTAAAGTGTTAATGAGAACATTTAGAGAGTAAGCGTAATTAAAAGAGGCTCGTGGAGGGGATAAGTAAGCGGTGTTTAGTGGTTCGAATTAGTGCATTGAATACGAAGTGTTTATAATGCATTTGAAGCGTGTAGGAGTGAAATTTGTACGAGCTTGTTGAAAAGTAGCGATTCGTCATAGTAATAAATGAGTGGTGTTTATAATGCATTTGAGAACGATAAAAATTAGGAGTGAAATTTCTATGGGTTTGCTAAAGAGAAGCGACTAGCCAGAGTAATAAATAAGTCATGTTTATAATTTATTTGTCACGCTTAAGAGCTCGTTGCAGACGTAATCATGCTGCCTTAAGAAACTGATTTCCATTTATCATTATTATAAATAATTTCCTATTTTCTCGTTAGCCCCTTAAGAACCGAATTATTTTACAAAAATCGTTTCAAAATTTCCGAACTTTTTTATTTTCGATAATCATAAGCAGTCGTGATATGCAGTAACGTATCACGTTACAATAAAATTACAAAAACAAAAATTGATATTTTATGAGGCACAAATTTACACGATTTTACATAAATTCATCGAATAAACTAAATTTTATATAAAATTGGAATTGAATTAACTTAAAAATTCTGCATTAATTTTCCAACAAGATGTAACGATATATCCATTATTAAACTGTTGTAAAATTACATTAATATTATATATTGGTAAAGTTATAAAGTAATTTGAAATTAGGGTATTACTTACTATTGCTGTTACTATCACTATTAATACTTAAAAGTAATACTCACATGTTACTATTAATACTACTACTTTTCATTTAGTACTAACTATGTATTATCACTTTACCGATATATTATACTTTATTCAATCTAATTAATTTTGATTTTAATTATTATATCATATTATTAATATATTATATTAATTTTAATATCATATTAATTTTAATTATTATTATCATATTAATTTTAATATCGTGTTATTACTGTATCATATTAATTTTAATATAATATTATTACTATATCATACTAATTTTAATTACTATATAATACACTTCCTCTTCCACAAACCTCTTCAAACACGAAATCACAATTTAAATGCCAACCATGTCGCCAATGAAATTCATGTCGTCCACAGAATCACGTACTCGAATCTTCCAAACGATGAAAAACTTCTTTAAGCCACGTTTCAACGTCTCAATGATCCCTAACCTGTCACGCAAACCGCCGTTCATCCGCAACATCGTCCTAACTGCAGAAACTCTTCGTCTTCAAACACCATCAAACACCGGCAAACGCATTTAAACGTGTTCAAACGACTTCAAACGTCTTGGAACATCATCGAAAACGTATTTTCACGAATACCACGTAACGTTTCGTCGAATTACACGGCTCGGCCATAGCTCGAATAGTAAATTGGTTTCTGTTTAGCAACGTATCGGTAAATCTCCGCGCTTCTGTGTCCGCGGCTATCATTAAAACGTCGCGAATTAAGAATTACGAGGTACTTATGTAACATACCGTGAGCCGTGAAAGTAATGAACAGCAGATTCTGTCATGGCGTGTGTCACCAGCACGATACGTACACGTCGGGCAATAAACAATGTAAATACGACGTTGCTTGTTCGTTCGCGGGCTATTCGCGCGTTTAACAGTTCGAATACGCGGATACACTGTCACGTTGATGGAAACGCTCGCGAGGGTGAAACGCTAAACCGTGGCCCCGCGACATCCTCGTAATTAATTGTTTACCTGCTCGTAAAGTATTCGGAACGATGCTACGGATAATTTCCATTTCGCGAATTTTCAAGTCTTAATTACGTTTCCTCCACGACCGGGAATGCAAATTGGAAAGCAACTTAATTAGGATTGGAAGAGTGTCCAGCTTATCTGAGTGCAGTATGCGAGCTAAGTATGCTTTACCCTTATGAGTACTTGTTACACACCCTTATGCCTGTACTTGTTACGTACCTGTCCGATTTCCTATCATTGAATTCAGATTTGGTAAATAAATATGTGGGTAAATACGTGGAAAGTTGGTTTGGTAATTGAGATAATTTAAAATTAGATTACAGAGAAGAGAAAAAAGATTGTTGTGAGAGATGAAATTAAGAAATATATATAGATGTCTTTAATTATAAAATGTAGAAAAATAGAAATTATATTTGACAAAAATTTTAGTTTTAGGGAATAGGAAAAATTTTTTATTTGAAAAATAGGTAGGAATTTGGACGACTTGTTATTGTTGATATTTAAAGGAGTATTTTTATATTAATTAGGAAGTGTAGGAAAAAGAAATTATACTTATTGGAAATTTTAATTCTATACATAATATTTTCATTACAGTTTTAATAATGATTAATATTAATTGATATTATTATGAATATTATTAATAGTGATACATTACTTAAGAATATTAATCATTATTGCAAACTATTGTTGCAAACTATTGAAAACTATTAATAATATTAATATTTAAATTTGTTATATGTATTCACTGTGATATATTTTTTAATATTCAACTTATCGTATATATGATAGTAATGATAAATTAATAATAAAATAATTCTTTCAAAAAGATTGTGAGCAATAGTAAGATTTTATAGTAAATTTTATAGTAAAATTCAACATTTGGAAATTTGAATACTATACATAATATTTTCATTACAACTTTAATCATAATTTATATTAATTGATATTATTATGAATATTAGTAATACATTGCTTAAAGATATTAATCATTATTGCAAACTATTGTTGCAAACTATTGAAAACTATTAATAATATTAATATTTAAATTTTTTATATGTATTCACTGTAATATACTTTTTAATATTTAACTTATCGTATATATGATAGTAATGGTAAGTTAATAATAAAATAATTCTGTCAAAAAGGTTGTAAACTATAGTAAGATTTGATAGTGAATTTTATCGTTTTAGAAAAAGAATGATTTTATAGTAAAATTTAACGTTTACTTGAGAAATGGCAAGGAATTATGGATAATAAGGGAAACTGCTATGGCTGTTTGGCACCACGTTAATTACCATGGGAATAAATTTTTTCGCTGTAAGAAACGGCCATTACTGCATGCGTCAGCCAGAGAAAAATTTAATATCCTGGTGGTAAATAAATATTTACTCTTTTTTGCAGTTGAATCTCATTCCTATGGAATTTATGGGCTTGAGTGATTTAATGAAAAATGACAAAGAGGTGTTTAAGACTTTCTAGAATTTTTCTTTTTAATTTACGCTCTCTGTAGATAAAGTTGACACGCCTAGGAAATAAAATTACGTAATATGAGATAAT